AGTCATCGTTGACGAAAAAAACCGATATTTTCAAATCACTCCGAAATTTTTAGTCTGATCAATTTGTGTTTAAAAGTAAATTACAGCACGGAAAAAAGAAAACTCGAAAAATTACAATATAAAATGTAAAATCGGTCCCGTCGTAATCAAAACTAGAAAAATTACAATTTGAAATAATATTTTTCTAAATTCAATTTTTTAATTCAATATTGAGAGCTTTCAATGTAAATATTACATTCTACAATGTAATTTTTATAAAATCTGTAATACTTACATTAGAATCTGTAATTTTTCCAGATAAATCGATTTTCACGCGGTCGGCAGCATCCGACGCAGTTTTTTAAATCCTCACGGAAAAAAGAAAACTCGAAAAATTACAATATAAAATGTAAAATCGGTCCCGTCGTAATCAAAACTAGAAAAATTACAATTTGAAATAATATTTTTCTAAATTCAATTTTTTAATTCAATATTGAGAGCTTTCAATGTAAATATTACATTCTACAATGTAATTTTTATAAAATCTGTAATACTTACATTAGAATCTGTAATTTTTCCAGTTATTATAACGAAGCGCCACGTTACATTATATACTGTAATTTTTCGAGTTTTCTTTTTTCCGTGAGGATTTAAAAAACTGCGTCGGATGCTGCCGACCGCGTGAAAATCGATTTATTCATTCAAAAGTAATTTCAGTTTGAAAATTTAAAGAAATCGTATTTTGTTAAACTCCTATTAGGCTTTGAACTCGTAGAGCTCAAAAGCATAGAACAGCTAGCTCTTTGAGTCAAAGATAACACATAAATTATATTTCTGAACTCGAAGAGCTCAAAAACGTCATAAGTGCAATTTTAAGCGCTTAGGTATGAAATTAGCGAGAAGTTGCGGGGATGGCGTTTAGCTTCATCAGTTTTTCTAATTTTTATTAACAAAAAATCGAACAAAAAAATAAAATTTAAAATCATTTTTTCCAATCAAATGTTTCCGATGGAACATAACTTCATATTTTTATTTGATCATATCTTTTCGAACGGTTCGATTGCCAGTTCTAGTGACTGCCCCCTCCCCTGTGGCTGTGGAGTTTATCGACGTTCGAATTAATGAAATTTAATTTCCAAAAAGTTATTTGGTATTAAACCTACACCAGTACTGGATACTGTATATTCCACACTCAACAGCCATAAACCGGGTACAGCAGAGAGACTATCTGGCGATGTTAATCGGATTTGTCACCTACTGTTAAACTACCTTGGTAGATGTTTGCACATGTAATCGGGTACGCATATCACACACGTTAACTTGAAACTCATATCAAATGAAGAGGTTTGCTCAACGATGACCATAATGGATAATGGGCATCAAGTTAACTTGAAATGCGAAGTAATCCTCTTAATGGAATCCTTTGATCATTGAGCATCTTGCATTTGATTATCTCATAATGCCATTGCAATTACGATTACAATAATTAAACCCAAGTCTGTCTATTGGGCTTATCATCCAGTCAAGTCGACTCTCTGGTCTTTGCTGCTGTGTACTGTGTACTGTGGTTGTATACAAGACTCAGACATGTGTTTTCAATGGACACACACCATCTTGTCACTAAGTTATTCCGGTATCCAGGTTATCTTGACCTGTATCTCTAGTTCTACTTTGTCTTACCTTTACTGTACATATCTACTTATACTTCTCGGCACCCTCTATATCACACGATATACCTTATACATATACCTTACCCTACCATACCATACCCTATACCGCACAATACTTGTCATAATAATAACCATACAACAAAAGTACATCATCAATCATACTCATATACATACTACTTTTTTTAGTCTATAATCATAAGTATGCTAAACATAAATCATCCGTCCAATTGCAGAGCACGCTACAATTGATGATCAAATTATAAATTTATTTCAATATAAATAATACTAAATTTTGGTATAACTTTAAACTTAAATACGAGTTTAAGTTTAATGTATTATTAGTCCTCTATATTTTAAAGTTATAAGGATTTATTAACTCCTTCAAGAACATTATTGAATACATTTAATCAACCTCTGTTTGGTCTTAAATAAATACTTGAATACTAATAAGATGTTGAGTTGATTAAATTGAGAAATTGTCCTTGATTTGAATGAATTTTTTTACTTAATTTAACAAAATTCTCTGATAATAAAACATATTTATTTGGTACAATGATATTTTTTTATGGTACCAAAATTACCAGACAGTAATTTTTACGACTTTTCTTAACGAATTAAAAAAAAATATTTAAAAAGGATTGCAACTTCCCGCTAATTTTAAATGCAAAAAGTTCCAAATTTAACCTATTAGGACGTTTTTGAGCTCTTCAAGGTCAAACGTTTAATTTGTATTTAATAAAAAACTTTTTTTAAAATATTTGAACTACAATAATTTTTGGACAAACCATCCAGTTTAAGAACACTTGGCGGCATTTAGCGTGGTTAAGAGAGCTTTATTAAAATGCTCAGAAAGAAATCTCTTTTGATGAATAATTGAAAAATTATATTAAAAAATCATGTTCTATTGCTATGTTGTTTTTTTCTAGTTACTAAAAATTAGATATTTCTCGAAAAAATCAATCGATTTTGATGCGGTTTGCAGTAATCGACGCAGTTTTTGAAGCGTAATAAAAAAAAATTTGTGACAAATAAATTGATTTGACTTAAATTTCTCAAGTTATTTTAAAAAAACCTTTTTCACGGCAATCGAGGTCATTTTTCGAAAAGAAGAGCTGATTAGATCATAGAAAAAACTATTTTTTGAAAATTTTAAAAAACTCGAATTTTTGAGGTTTTCTCAGAATCTACTGTGTTAATTTGGTCTCAATTCCCAGAAAATCTAAGTTTAAGGAAGCCCTTTCAAATGCCTCAAACCGCTTTTCGATAAGATACTTCGTTCCAAAGTTATAAGACGTTTACATGTTTAAACACACATACACACACACACACGTTTCGGATATGTTTTCAGTACTAGTTAATTTATAAAATAAAACAAAAAATTATTAGATGTCTTCTTATTCCAGTACCATATTTTTTGACAAAAATATATCAAGTCATCTTCACTTATTTCTTTAAATATTTCAACTATAGTTTCTTCTCAATACTTTTTTCTCTATTTATGTGTTTAAATTATAAAAAAGTAAAATTATCATTAAAATCGCTGTGCTTGATATTTTTTTTTATAAAAAATGTAAAACCATTGGACTAAATTCTCATCAATTGATGTACCCTAGAAAATGCGATCTACAATATTTCATTCAATTCAATTTTAATAATAAATATATACAACTATTGTAGACTCACGTAATACCTAATGGTTTTTAAAATATTACTCAGCAAAATTTAAAGCTTCAATCTCAATATTATGAATTTTCATTTTCAATAGACCTTTCTAATAAAAAAAAAAATAATTTTTAATGATTGTTTTCTTCCTTTCTACTTAAATCAATCTTGATTAATAACAAAAAATATATTAAATCAATACAAAAGCGCTTCAACAAATGATTCGTTATCTCGATCTTATCTGTAAATAAAAATTTATCAGAAAACGTTAATAAATTTATCAAATATGATCAAATTAAATCTAAATAAATCTTAAAGCATCAGCGATGGTAAGAAATAAAATGGAAATGGATAAAATCAAGCCAGCGACCCTTTGATTGCCGAGAAAAGATCGATAGATATACATATGTCTTCTCTCTCCAGCAGAAGTGAGCTTCACTGCTATTCCATCTGCGTTTTTCCTGGAGGGTGTTCATCTCTTATTCATCTTCTGCACAGTAACGGAGGTCCTACATCAGATTGTGTTGAGCAAAACCTCATATAACTATAACGGTATATATACGCGTGTCTGTTGTATTGGCTCGGGGAAGTGTAGAGACGATCTGACGATACAATGTACGTCGACGTCGTCACCACTACACCAACGATGACGAGGACGATGAAGGTAACACGGCAACATAACGACGTCTGGTGTGGAAAGTCGCAGGGGTGAAAAGAGGGTAAACGGGCAGACATGCGCGTTCGAGCCCAGCCAACCCTTGGCAGGGGTGTTCAGCAGTCTAGATCTTCTAGGGGATCAAGGAGGCGAGGGTGTCCACTGTTATTCATATTGTCAATACATACAACGTTAAATGTGTCGGTGTATGTACACAAAAGCGGATTTTCCGTGTAGTCGAACGCCTGCGCGGGTTTAATCGACGATCAGCTGTGAACAGGCTCGAGTTGAAGAAGAAGAGAAGCCTCAGTGGCGCCGCGCAACCCGTCGGCACCCATTCTTATTTATGGGTTTTCATTTATTTATTTACACAATAATAATTACCTCGGTGCCTCTTTGCACTGTGTTTTAATAGTTGTACATTTAAAATCAAAATAATTATGTCATCGTGATAAAAATCACACCATCAGCAGCTTCTCTATGATAAACAATTACTTCAGTATAACTAGGAGAGTAGTAACAGCACTTGCCGCAGCAGTGGTGATGGTCGTTACAAAGTGACTCGGGGTTGTTGGAGTTTTTAAATACGAATAAAAAAGGTCACATGCGTTTAGTGAGTGTACGATTACCATGAAACCGAGGGGTCTTGTGTCGAGAAAACAGTCTCGTCGAATTGTTATCGAGTCATCTGGCTCCTCAGCATTATCATCATCATCATCATCATCATCAAGTACTGAAGAGGAGAACGAAGACGCAGCGATGTTTAAAGAGCGTCGCTTACGCGTCACTTGTTATATCTGAATTATTTTAATTTAGTATTAAATACATATTTCTTCATCAGTGATTTTTATTTTCTTGAGTTATTCTTGCGTGTCGCTCCTGAATTGTAAGAAAATAAATAAATATTAGTTATTTTTATTTAATTTAAAATAACTAACTCGGATAAAGTAATTAACGAATTAATTTAAATTAAATAATAAAATAAAAGATAAGAATTTAAAAAATTACCAAGAAGATGATAAGTGAATAGTGTCCACTGCCTGGGAGCGTATGCTGCGCATACCCCAACAACCCACGTGAAAAATAAAATGGCAACCCATGAAAAGAGTACTCGGTGTGTTTTGACACTGGTGTTGTTATTGTTTGCGAGTGATGTACTGCATTGCGCAGCACGCTCGTACGACGACACCAGACGACTGGGCTCCTCCGGGGATGATAATAATGATGGCTCGGTGATCCAAGTACTGCCAATGCACGGGCCCAGCGCTGATAATCATGATCTTCCTCAGGATTTGGGAAAACCGTATCCTGGGAAGAGCTTCGGACCCATGGGACCCATCGATCGCACTTTCCTCGACGAATCGCTTCGCAACCTAGAGAGCGGCGACGACAGTGGTATTGTCGGTGGTGATGATGCTAATTCTAATCAAAATTCAAATGGGAATGCTAATGTTGGTGGGCACGCCAAGAAGCGAGAGTACAAAGTATTTAGCGTTGAGTTTCATCGAGTTGAAACTCCGTTCATTATTGGGATCTGGATATTCTTTGCCAGCCTTGCTAAGATTGGTGAGTGATCATCTGGATGAGTCTTGAGGAGTTTACGCTCTTGCTCTCTGTCTTTGATTTTATTTTATTTTATTTATGTTGTACTTTATAATATATGATTAGACGTTTACATTCTCTGCAATTACAAAAGTAATAACTCATCGCGCTCACAAGACTCAAGGGGCTGAAGCACTTGAAGTTTAATCGAGCTCGTGATGGCTGTTATTAGTTACGATAGATATAGTTGCAAAACAAGATTAAGTCTATAGCCCACTACTGAATAAACCGTAAAGCGTTTTATTATCTATCTCTAGAGCAGCTTTTTAAAAAATTTAACTCCTGTTGAGGCTTCTTGCCTGTTTTTAAATCAACAAATAAAACCGCACCCTGGATCTTGTCGCGTGTAAAAGGTCAAGACCTGGTTGCTGCTTTTATTTACATTCCGTCTCTGTATTAGTCTAGCCTTGACTGTCGGCACGAATTGCTGCATATTCATGAAAACAATGTGCCACAGCAATGCTTTATCAACTTTCAAGTAGATTTTTATTCATATATACGTCTTCTTTTTCTTTATTGTATAATTTACATTTTTTGAAACATAATTTTACTTAATATAATAAAAAATATTTTTACCTTTTTTGTTTACGAATAGGTTTTCACATGGCACCCAAATTCAGCAAGATGTTTCCCGAATCCTGTCTACTTATTGTCGTGGGAGTTGTTATTGGTGTCCTGCTGTTCCATGCAAGTAGCGTACATGTATCACCACTTACACCGGATACATTCTTCCTCTATATGCTTCCTCCTATAATACTTGATGCTGGTTATTTTATGCCCAACCGATTGTTCTTCGACCACTTGGGAACCATCTTGTTATTCGCTGTTATTGGAACTATATTTAATACTCTGTCGATAGGTAAGGAAACAAATTTAATGTAATATATTTAAAATTTATCCGTAATCAAGAATTTGTCATCCCCAGAACTTGCTTTATTTGAAATATTGCCCTTTAGTTTATAGCACCGGTATTTCACAACAGACACAGCGAAATTGAATATAAAAATATGTTTTGAAATCTAAATTATATATGTCAGTCTTTTCAGGATTTCTACGCTTTACAAAAAATCATCCTCTGTAATGCTATTGTTGCGAAATGGAGAATGCATGCTCATTTTAATTCAACTATTTTTTCTATTTTCTGTTATCACCTTACATATTCATTTTTATCTCTATTTTCTGTGTAAACACGTCCTTGATGTTTTTGTTTTCATCGTGCGAACGAGCAGAAACAAGATTGGATCTAAATTCAATTTACTTTTTACATTGTTCGTGGTTTTACGTTTATATTTATAAAATTTTTTTATTATCGATATAATAATAGAAAAAAATAATAATTGTTTTATTCTTTTCTTTTAAAATTGTATTTTTTTGCTCGACACACTTACTGCTTGGTTTAATTTGTTTCTCTACGACTTTACAGCTGAAACCAAGTTCAACAGATATATTGATCGTGCTTCACCAACATCAGCTTTATAATTTATTTACCTTTGAAGTTAATTTAAAGTTACAAAAGCTTTGTTGGTAAAATACGGAAAAGAAAAAAAAAAAGACAGGAAACATTAAATGTCACGAGTCAGGAGTATGATACTTATTATTTTGTTTTTTGTTAAACATCTGTTTAAAAGTAAATTTAAAAATCCAAATGCTCAGCGTAATCCCTTTTGTCAAAGAAAATTTCAAAATAATTACTGACATTTTAAATTATGCATTCTTGTTTTTAAATATTCATGGGTTAACAAACGTTTTTTTTTCTTCTCTGCTTTTAAATTTAGGTGCAACACTCTGGGTTTTAGGAAAAAGTGGTCTTTTTGGTTTTACAACACCACTTCTCGACATGTTCCTTTTTTCTGCACTAATAAGCGCCGTTGATCCAGTCGCAGTGCTTGCTGTCTTTGAAGAAATTCACGTCAATGAAATTCTTTACATCGTTGTCTTTGGAGAAAGCTTGTTAAATGATGCTGTCACTGTTGTAAGTACTAGAAATATTATTATTATTATTATTATTATTATTATTATTATTATTATTATTATTATTATCATCTCATTATTATCTCATTATCTAGTACATCACCTCAACATGAACATATCCAAAACATCAAATAACAATAGTACCCGATTATATTCCTCAAGTAAGTTATTAATGTGACCTACTTACTGAAGAACCAATTCACAATTTGCAAATCATCTATTCACTGTATATGCTACTGACGTAGACAGACATCAAAGACATACCGAATTGTAAACTTTGTATCATACTCATATATTTACATCATTAAAACTAATATTATTGTTATGTGTTTCAAATAAGAACTAGGTTATCTTCTAATGCCTTTTAATTGTCAGGTGTTAGATTATTTATCAATATTGGGTTGTATCTCCTTAAAAATACTACATGGTCTATACTGTTTTATATATTTACAATATATTGTACTTCAGTTAGAAATTATTGAGAAATATGTAAAAAATATCATCTTCTTTTACGGTAAAACTAGATGTCAATCGCTTCCCTAAGCTTAAGTTGAAATTTGTTTTTTTTTTTTTTTTAGTAAAACAATTTTTAACTTTACATCAGTTTTTACTCCCAATTTCGCTCTCTTGGATTTTTTTAAATAATTATAAATTTTGATTTGCGATAATAAATGGTGTAAATATTATCAAGATGTCTTAAATTTAAAAAATATCAAATTAGTCAAAAATTATTATTTTCTTAATTAACAAAAATTTAGTCTTCTTTTATAGTAAAATTTATTAAATTCCTAAAAATATTTTACAAATAATGGAATTGATAGCACCATGGTACAGACAGCTCTGTTCTTATACAGAAAATTAAAAAAATATTTCTATTAAAATTCAAACAGTAAATTTCATTTATGAGATGAATTTAAAAATTTTTAATGGTTAACTAACAATATCTTGATCATAAAAAATAAAAAGTTTAATAAAACAAATCAATAAAATTAATTTATCGAATGAATTTAAAATAAAATATTGGTTAAAGAATATATTTTATTGATGATTAACACAACATAGCAGGAATAATGAACTATACTTTTACAAAAAGTTTGTTCCCTGCCTGTGTAATATTAATGAAGATATTTTCATCTTCTACATCTCCGCTTCTCATTAAGAATTAAAAAATTTATTGGTACTACATAATTAAAAATAATTTGAAAAACCAATCGAGTTTCTCGAGATGGTTAAACCGAACTCATTAAACAAAAATCAATCAATGCATAAATTAAAAAATAATCGATAAATATTTTAAGTCGCATCTTATATAAATGTTATTATTATTCCAGGTGTTGTACCATATGTTCGAAACATACAGCGAAATGGGTCCATCAAGAATAACATACATGGATCTACTATCAGGACTAGGATCGTTTTTAGTAGTAGCCATCGGCGGAACAATAATTGGTGTAATATGGGGCTTAGCTACCGGGTTCGTAACACGTTTTACCAATCAAGTACGCGTGATCGAGCCCATCTTTATATTCGTCATGGCCTATCTGGCTTACCTTAATGCTGAGATATTTCACATGTCTGGAATCCTCGCGTGAGTATATACAAATAACTTGTCAACACTTTAATACGTGTTTTGTATATGTATATATCCACATATATAAAAGCTCATCCACCATATTATCTTCATTTACATGCACATGCACATGCACATACACAACAATGAGGATTCGAGGGCTATAGGCCATCGATCGTAGATAATAAGTAACTGGATAAAAATTCAATCAACAGTATAGTATAATGTGTGTTTATTTTTACCCTTTTTCAGCATTACTTTCTGCGGTATAACGATGAAGAACTACGTTGAAGCTAATATCTCCCACAAATCTCACACCACTGTCAAATACACTATGAAGATGCTTTCAAGTAGCTCTGAGACAATTATATTTATGTTTCTGGGTGTTGCGACAGTAAATAACAGACATGATTGGAATACGTGGTTTGTCGTTATGACTATTGTACTGTGTTCAGTCTATCGGATTGTCGGTGAGTCGTGAACAAACATACTCCTCTATAAATAATTATATTTATTCAGTGTGCGTGAAATAGTACCTACTACTCGCCATTAAATTATATAATCTATTATTTAGACGTTTATTGATTTTCGGACGACCGAATTTCATTTTATTTTATTCTATTATTATTTTTATTTAATATTATTTTCGCGATTCTTCACAGGCGTAATGGTACTCACGGCAGTGGCTAATCGATTCCGGCTGCATAAACTGGACAAGGTAGAAAAGTTCGTGATGTCGTACGGAGGGTTGCGTGGGGCCGTGGCATTCGCCTTGGTTCTTCTCATCGACCCGAAACACGTGCCTCTGCAGCCGATGTTTGTAACAACAACTATCGCCGTAATTTATTTCACTGTTTTCATTCAGGTTAATAAACAGATTTAAACTTTATAACGGACTAAAACAGTCAAATATTTAAATACAGTAGTTAGTATAGCAGAATATCGCACAATTGGTCACTGAACCAAGCACTGCTAAGTGGTTATTGTTCTATCGATTTAATTGGCGATAACTGAAAGGCTATTGATATCGGCTATTTTAACTTTATTGTTTTTTTTTTTTTTTTTTTTTTTTTTTTTTTTAGGGTATAACAATTAAGCCATTGGTAAAAATATTAAATGTTAAAAGAGCCGAGAGACGGAAACCGACCATGAATGAAAGGATACACGAGAGAGTAAGTTACTCTATTAAATCTTCACGGAAAAAAGTAAACTGTAATATTCACTCGGATTCCGGTTAATTTTTATAGTTTCAAACAGTAAAGCGGACATTGGGCTCGCAAAAACATAAATATTACAGAACTTAATGTAGAAAGTATAAAGGTCACAATTTATAATTTAATATCCAAAATTACTGATTAGTAGCTATCACTATAGTAAATAACGACTCTTTTATCTTAAAAAATTACAGTTTCAAACAGTAAAAATTGCCATTTCAATATATAGTCCATATTATGAGCAGGAGAAGGGGAACTCAGATGAAAGAGAAGGGGGTCTTACTCTGAGAGAATTTAACATTTGAAACAGTAAAAATTATACTTTTAAAATATAGATTTTACCAGTCCAAGCAAGTCAATAATTACAGTTTGATTTTTAGCGTTGCGTTTAAAATTTACCATTTTACTTTGTAAATATTGACGTTACTTGTATTAGAAATTTACTAACTTTATTTTATACTTTTTACATATCATAAGATCATTTTTTAGGTACAAAATGATAAATATCAAAGTCTGAATTGTTAATTATTATACTTTAAAATTTTAGACATTTACATAGCGAATATTACTGATTGAAATAGTGTTTTTTTCCATGTAAAGGGTAAATTGTAACGTTTAAATGGTAAATATTATAAAATGAATAGTAAAATCACGATTTTACTGTTTGAAATGGTAATTTTTAGCAGTTGATCATTACTTATTATAAATCGATATATGTTATTTATTACAGTTTACTTTTTTCCGTGTTGATATTCATTTGATTGCTATGCGACATATAATCAATTAATTTAATAAAATTTGTTATATTTTAGATTATGGATCATATAATGGCTGGTGTCGAGGACATTCTCGGAAAACATGGAAATTATCATTTAAGGGATAAGTAGGTCATCCAGTAATAATTAAATTAATTTGTTAACTATTTTCGGCCTTGTTGTTTAATACATATATGTATGTTTTTATATATTAACCTTTAATTGTCACAGATTCAAAAGGTTCGATAATAAATTTATACGTCCGTACTTGGTGCGAAATCATTACGGTGCTGAGCCAAAAATATTGGAAACATATTCTAAGCTCGCGATGAAAGATGCAATGGATTACATAAGAAGAAATGCCTCAACAATTGGAAATATAAGCGGGACCGAGAGCATGTCGGCGATATTCCGAAACTACAGCAATCCTGGACAATTTAATTCAAGGTGGGCAGTCCAGAAGAAATTGAAAATAAGTCAACACCGTGTGACACCGTTATTAGCTAAGGGAAGTACATGTTCCAGTAATTTTCCTTTTGTTCATTCAAGTCCAAGTTGCAGTCAACTCGAGGCTGGGTGGAACATTGACCTGCAGGAACTCGAGTACTACCCCTCAAAGAAAGACTTGACAGACGCTAAGATCCATCACTTGCTTGTTGAAGAACTCTGCAAGCCGTACAAACGGGTAAGCTTGTCGACTGGGGTAAATTTATTTATATTTATTTTATCAGTCTTATCTCATTTATGGAACTTTGTTCTTATTACTATACTATACTATACTATACTATGTTCTTATTCTTAAGTTATATCTTGTTATTTTTTGACATATCTGAACTTCCAACTGTCTAACTATGTGTTTATTTGTTTTATCTGTGTCATTGGTACGTTATGTGTAAGACTATTCCTTCATTTATATTGAACACATTCGGCTAGACTTACGTGTTTCAGCATCGCCGACTAAGCTACAGTCGTCACGCAGTTAACGATCGTGATTTATCAACACAAGTCAATTATAAAATGCACATGAACATTCGTCGGATGATGGGTGAGCACAAACACCGACACAAACGCAGTAAAAAAATACTCAAGGTAAGCTTGTTCCATAGGATTCCTCATTATAATTATTTTATTTTTATTATAAACATCACAATTATTGTTATTGTTTATAATATACAATTTTACTGTATTTATATTTATATACAAGCTGTTAAGTATTAACTCTAGTAATTTATTAACAACACATGGAACAAAGATGTTCGTTATCATTATCACATAACACATTATGGTTTTATTTATTATTAAAGCTTGTCACTGTAATTTACACCCTTGTATTATAGTACCGTCTTAACTATCAACTTTAGTAATTCATTATGGACCTTTTTACTATCCAAGATTCGGGCTATTTTATTTTATTTTATTACTTAAACAAAGTAATACAAAAGATAACGAAAAATTTTGTTTCACTGTTATTTTTATAAATTTATTGGCGTTTATACAGGACGGTAGTAAGCAAAATCACGTGAGTTTTCCTGAGCTTCAGCAGCAAAATGGTTCAACCAAGCTTTTTTCTCCAGGTATTTATATGATGTATAAAAAAAGTGATGATCCTTATTAATCATCACTTTTATTACAATCCTTGATTCCCGGCTTTTTTTTTCTTTTTTTTTTATTCCTCCTCTTTTTTTTGTTTGTTCTTTTTATCTAATTATTTCAGATTATATAGATGGTGATTTGTACAAACTTGAAGACGAAGAAGAAGGTAAACCAACACGTGATCCAGACTGGGATTCAGCGATTACTTTTACAGCTCGAACTTCAGGTAATAACCTGTTTAGTAACAACAACCGCGATACACGATCCGATAATAAAAAATTTTATTAGTTGTATACACGTACTAAATATCAAACGAGCTTCCGCTGGTAATGGTAAATGGTATTGGATTCTGTGTAGATTCTAATCAATACGGTGAGGGTTCACGATGTGATAATGGCCATAGTGATGATGATACTGATGACGATGACAACACAGAATGCGGGATGATGCGACGACATCGTGGTGAATCTGAAGGTATACTATTATTTATTATCTATTAATTTAATATCACGGATTTACTCACCGTAAATGTTATTTATTATTGTAATTTTAGGCGAGTCATTTCGAGTAACAACACCAACGGCTACTGAAACAATGTTACCATGGAAACGCGAGGACGATTATGAAGATTCTGCAAGGCCGGTTAAGCAAAATGAATTCCCGGCTTGGTGTTCTAACAAAGAATACCTGGCTTACAGCTCGCCGTCAGCGACATTTTTGGGTGGAATTGAGCAACCAAAAGTACAATCCGTTATTGGTCTCTTTCGCAAAGACAGCGGTGGAAGTCCAGACCTCGCGGGTTACCGGGATCTGGATGAGAGTGATGAATTCGCGGGGATGGGTTTTACAAATGGAACTTTTTCACCGAGAACTTCAGGTAATAACTTAGATATATATATATTTTTAGTATTATTTACGTTTATTTTCTGTGGGAGATAAACGTTAAACTTTGTATTATAGTAATAAAGTAGATCAATGGCTTAAATAAAGAGAAAAATATAAAAAAAAAAAAAAAAAAAAGGTTACAAAAAGGAAAAAAATAATTTGGCCTTGTAGATAAATTGAGTAAAGTTAAACGACGAGGATCAATGATGGAGCTAAGTTCTGCAGAGTCAATACACAAAGAAAAAGTAAATAACAATGGCTCGCATTCGTTGCCAGAGTACTGGAACTCACAAAGGTTACGTCTACAACAATCCCAAACAACTTTTCCATGTTCAACGGCAAATGCTCCGAGTTTATCGACAGCACTTATATCCTCGTCTACAGAATCGTCCGAGGATTATGAGGAGGATTGACCGTGGATAGAACTGACGTCTTCTTCCTACGAGGAACGTCCACACCGAGAAAGTGACCTTTGTTCGGTTCTGTCGGGATTATTCCGCCGGCCGAGTGCTCCTGTCTAAATAAAATTAAATTAATAAAACAAAATAAACAAGAACAAACAAACAAACAAACTAAAAAAAAAATATAAAACGACAAAGCCACACAGATGAATATTTTTTCACATTGCGGACTCGCGGGAACTTTTAAAACACTGCTGACTAAAAAATAAATATAAATAAAAAAAAAAAAAATGAAAAATAACTAATAAAAAGGGGAAAAAATCAAGTAACTCGATGCAGTAAACGTTTAATAAGAATTTACTTAATTTAATTAACGCCGTAATTATACGAGGTTTTTAAACTTTGAATAATATTAAATAAAACGCGAATAACTTTTATTTTGCATTGAGAATTGTAAAAAGAACTAATTAATTAACAAATGGAATTTTATTTAATGATATTAAATTTAATTATCCAGCGAAGGATATGAGTTTTAAGTTTTAACAAAAGTTTGTCAGTTTGTATAATAATAATTTAAAAATAATGACGCTGTGGACCGCTTTGACATGGGTGCCTTCTATACAAACACGCTGTTTGATTAATGAAGTTCACTATTAGGACAATGATGGCAACGACTGTAACTAAATAATAATACTCGATAAAATAAAAGTAGGTAATGCTGAATAAGTTGATGGAAAGAAGCTAAATTTGCTCTGAGAGCACAGAATGAAAATGACCGAAGGCCATATCATACAATTAAAAAAAAAAAAAAAAATGGTGTAACATTTATTAGACTTGGATCAATAAATAATAAGGCTTCGGTTTGAATTTTCTAATACCTCTCACATCGCCCGGATAACGTCCGCTATATTTTTAGTCAATTTTAGGATTAAATAAGTGTACCACTCAGTGGTACAATTAAGACAAACATTGAATAATAAAAAGAGTACAACAAGTTGGCTAATTTTCCTGAGTAAATTAGTAGGAAATTTTAAGCAGCCAATTTGATGAAAAAAATTTAAAAACGAATTGTGTAATAATTGTAATTATTTATTGTTTATTGTCAACGACGGTGTCTCGTGTGGGAGCGGTCGTGTGTGACTGAGTGGACGGATTTAAATTGTAGATAATATAAATAAATTAAAATTGAAAATGATAAATTAAAATAATAAAAAAGTAAATAGTGAAATTTAGACTACACCATCAGTGACTAGAATCTGCTGGAGATATCTTTACGCTGTTGATTTGTTAAATAAATGTTTTATTTCATATTTATTATCAAATTTTTTTTATCATTACATCCCATTGTTTTTAATTATTACTTGCATATACGACATATATTTAACTGAAAATATTGTGATTAAAATACTTTTTCACAAAAATTTATTTTAATTTTTATACAGCTTTAACTTCCTGAAAGTATTTAAAAAAAAAATCTAATATATATATTTATATTAACTAAGTTGATAAATAGCAATAAAAATCATATTACAATCAATGTATAATCAGCGAGTGTGATCATACATTTGAATTAATAAAATAAAATTAACAATTGACTCATATATTGCTGTGATGGTCTTTTATATTTATCACTTGTTCATTAAGCTGAATCATTTTTACTAACTAATTCATTGGACTCGTTCAACTTTACTAAGTAAAGTTAAGCTCTTGCCAGATCTTGTACTAAAAACTAAAAGTGACTAATCTAAGCTTAGCCCAGCTAAGAACTTAGTAAACTTGAACGAGCCCATTAATATTCACAAATTATCAACATATAAGTAAAAATTGATCGTTGATTAAAATTAAAAATTTTATTACTCTCTGCAGCAGCTGGTGATTTAGATTCATTGAGTCATTTAATTTTATATTATTTCTACCAGGTCATAGTTGATAAAGCGAAATATTCTTCGTCTAAAAAACTAAAATTAATTTTCAACTTCACCGTGATATTAATAATACTATAAAAATTAATTTCAATTATACTAACAATTTCTTTAGAACCATCTGGTCTTTTCTTCACCCGCAGTTCGTGCGAAAAACTCTCACTATTTTCCTATAAAATATAAATATCCATTTTACAAAAGTATTGTTCTATTTATTACAGCGACAATTACCTTCAGGCATGTTGAGTCTCAGGTGTTAACGATATTAAGCAATTTCAGTGATTGCAGATTTTCAACCGGAAATTTGTTTGTTTTTTATATAAAAAAATATTTCTTTCATTTACAAATAACTATAAATCAACGGAAATCGACAACTAAAATAATACCATTATTGCAAGCAGCAACGAGACTAATCCGTTAATTAATTCAATAAGATCTCTGAATTGGAAATAAAGTTCGCTCGAATCTCGTAATCGCTTGTCTACTTGACGTGGATTTAATCTAGAATAATTAATAACCAATACGATGAAGCTCTCTGTGCCTTCAAATTCGCTCTAATAGTCGGTATTATTGATGTCAATGAGACATGCGGGCTTCTAAAAGAACATCTACAATAATTCAATTTAATTTAATTATTTCATTTGATTTCATTGATTTAAAGTGAAGTATATTTTATCTGAAAACACTTTTTGCGTCTTTTAATGTTTAAATTCATTTAATTATAATTATTCTATAAAATATAAAATATTTTTCTCACGGTCTAACTTCACTGTTTATTTATAAATTTTTTTCAATTTTTCATTGTATAAACTAATATAAAAATATAGAAGAAATAATTGAAAAAAGGCCATTCGGCATCCGAAATGGAAGTAGATTTAATTTTATTTCATTTCTGTGGACAAAACAACTGCAAAAGTAAAATTTTTTTAAAATGATACTAAGATGGACATTTTTTGATTTAGAAAAACATGTAAATTGAAGCTTAATTTCTCAGCTTTTGGATGCATTTTACAGAAATTGAATATCTCTACGCGTCCAAAAGTTATTTGAAGGGGGAGTAATGGAAGTATAAAATTTTCAAACTTTCAAAATTAAAAAATGCTGTAATTTCTAAACTAATTGACCAATTGAGCTCATATTTGAACTTGACCTTTGTAATCGTCTATAAAAAAAGTATGTTGAGTTTCATTAGGATCCCTTAAAAATTGTTGACGCTATCGTTGTGACAAGCCGCGTTATATTCGTATATAATATATGGATGATTCTATAAAAAGGGCTATAAAACTATCAGCTTAATTATAATAAATAAACAGCCGAATTAATTTTTGCTTTTTCGATATTTGTGTATCTTTTGCCATATAACATGACAGGAGAACGTTTTTTTGTTATCAAATTGAGAAAAATCAAGCAAACTATTTCAATGCATTCAACTTTTCAAGTTCTCAATGAATGTTTACATGAATTAGAATAATATTAAGACTTATGGATCCAATTTTATAAATAAATTATAAATAAAAATAGTTGCCAGGGGACTGAGTTTTGAAGTGGCCCAGATACATATTTCCAGTACAAACGGTGCTTTAACACTAAATGAAATGACGATAAAGCGCTAACAGCCCTATGGTTATTAACTCAAGGCTAGTTAGGTCCTTATAAACCTTACAAAAGGTAAAATAACACGCTGGATTTTTTTTTTGCTTTGAACTTCTGGCAGGTGACTGTTTTTAAAATGCCTGGGACAAACTTTGGTTTAATGAATTTAATGAAACAAATTAATTTTCGGTACTTTTTATTGAAGAAGATTGTTAGTTAACTAATTAAGTTTATAAACATTATGAACCAAATTATATATGATGGACGAATAACTTAAAATTTAATCTTAAAGTTTTAACTTTGGGAGTGGGACAGCCCAGGGGACTATTATTTCGGTGGTTTACAAATTTATAGCAAAAAAACCAAAATTTATTTCATTTTCGTTTTCAATGCTCCAAATAGAAATATTTTTTTACTTTCATAATAAATTTTTTTTAATAACAAAATAACAATTTTTTTAATAAAAAAATGTCTGAGACAGCAAAAAACATCCTTACAGAGAATCACCCATATATACTTTGGAACCATATGTTTTTTTCTGTCTCAGCTTGTCGAGTTAAGTCGAAACATAGCAAAATTTTTGAAAATTTGCATCATAAGGACAAATACAATAGTTAGATTTTTATGAAATCTATTAAAAAGTGAGTAATACCTGTTGTTTTCCATGAAAATATAAATGATAAATAAAATATTACGACATTAATGTATATTACACTGGATAGTTGCAATTTAAAGCCTTTGTTATTATTATTTTATCGAGAACGTAAAGAAAATAGCCGAGTGAAATAAAAATACTAATATTCTTTTATTGTTTGTACGCATATTTTTTGTCAGCCTATAAATTTATATTTTTATGCAGAGCGTATAATAGTTAATTTACGTTTCCACTTAACTTTAATGTTGCAGTATTTTATGATAATTTTTATTAGTTACGTGACGACGTCAATATCGCAGATTATAAATAGAAGAAAATGCTCAATTAGTTAAGTGGATTACTGTAATTTATTACACGAGAGTGAAAAAATTCCGTGATAAAAATATATTTTTCATTATTTATATTTGATCAATTGAGGTCATTCTTCAATTAATAATATAAATTATTTTTTATCAATTTTAAAAGAAAATACTTGAATATATTTTCGTCCCCCGATAACTAGTTTCAACTTCACATCTAAATCAAATGAAAATTTATTATGAATTATAGACAATAATCAGTTTATATCTGGTGATTATGACGATTTTGTACTTGTTGATCAAGTTGTATCATAATTATCAAATACGTCGTAGTTACGCCAGCCATCTAATTAAATTGAAATCACAATTTTATTAGTAAAATTTTTCCTTGTAGTATATATAGATTTTAGAAACCTCAATAATTTGATTGAATTACTTTATAAAACAACTCGTGGTTCAGTTTCAATGCATCGTGAAATTTTATTTCTACAGGCTCTTGAAGTTGGTGCAGAGAAATACTTTTCAACTTAAAAAAAAAAAAAATTAATTAATTTTATATTATATTGATGTGCAACATTAGTTAATTAAAACACTGATAGAAGGATTTGTTTATAATTAAAAATATTTGTTAATATTTAACAAATCATTTATTAGAGACCACTTTTTAGTCCTTAAAAAATATTTCTTAGTATTTAAAAAGATTTATTAATATTTAATAAATGAATATCAGATTTATTAAATACACAAATCATTAACAAATCATTTTAAATACTAAGAAATATTTGTTTAATACTAAAAAGTGGTCTCTAATAAATAATTTGTTAACTATTAACAAATATTATTTAATACAAATAAATCTTTCTATCAGTGAATGATACTTACCATTTCTTTGAAACCATCCAGTCGTTTCAAAGCCCACGACTCATGCAAAATTTTCACTTTTTTATTTGCCTTCAATTATAAAATTAAAATTTATTAATTAAATATTAAAATTTGTTAATTTATCGTTACGTTACCTCTTCGCATACTGTGTGACAATTATCAATAAAAGAAAGTAATAGTAACATTCGCATTAAAACCCAACTGACATTAATCAAAATTGGCCAAGAAAAAGTTTTCTTCATTATGGAATTCATGAATAAATACGAATTGAAAATTGAATGTGTAAATTGAAGCAATAACACTGTGATAAATGGTAACGCGAATATCTCGTTTGACATTTTTATTTGATTTCTGAGTTCCAGATCAAGTTTATCAAACTCTCGTAATTTTTCATCTATCTCACGTGGCTTCAACCTTAAATTTTTGATGATTTGATATTAACTATAAGAAATTTTCTGTACACGTTTTTCGTATACTTAATGACAGCTTACCTTATTTTAATTATTTCCATTGAAGAATCTTCGTCAACATATACTTCAGGCAGGTAACCAATGTTTTTGTTTAGAAGACAAAAATGTCTTCCTAAAATTTTTATAAAATATATATGTATCATTGCGTAATTCAGCGGTATAATTCGTGGATAATTGAATAAAGTCCAAACAGGAAAATCGTAGTCTTTAATTTCCCCATAGCAAACTATCAAATCGGTTGTTACAGTAATTATAAATAATATGTTCAAAAATAATACAAAAACAAACATTTCTCGCAGTATATCATCATAAATTTTCGTCATCTTAATTTTCATTATCACCGATGTACTTTCTAAAGTTTTTAGAAACAATTTTAAGATATCTTGTACTTGATTAAAACGGGTTATTGAATAAATCCAAATCATTGATATTGCGATGTAATCTAACATAAGACTGACAAAGTCGACAATAACGGCGAGGATTGTTTCTCGTGGACGTATAAATGATGATCTTGACAACATAACATTCATCACATTTTTACTGTATCCTAATGTGAGGATCACGGTGTAAATAGTTGCACTTATAGATCTTTTTAATATTCCAGGTTTGTAGTAAACGTACGGCATGAAACCGAGAATTTTAAAGTAATAAAATAATAACTTTAATATTATTTTACTGCTAATATGCATGATTTATTGAATTTTCTGTTTATATTTGAACTCACTTTTCAACTGCTGCAGAAATTTGTAATAACTCTCATCAGTTATGCAACATCGATTTTGAATTAAAAACCTTTTATCATGTCGCATTATTAATGTTCAATTAAACTAAGTGTTTTGCCGCAGTTTATTATATTAATGAAAAGAAATGAAAAATAATTTCTTCTATTAATTTATTGAATGTAGTATGAAACTAAATTTTTAATTCAGTTCTGATATAAATCGTACACGGAAATAACAAGATGACACTGGATATCATTACAGATTATACTCAGTGATATCTGTGGCGAAAAAAAATTTCGATTTGAGATTTGAGAATTTTTCGTTCTGATTCAAGGCAATGAAATTCTTCAAAATAATTTTCATGTTTCAAAAATTTACTCTATTGAATCGAGTTAATTTTTTTTTACATTTAAAAAATAAATGGATACTACCTGCGCTCTTAAAGTGTTTGATAATTAAATTAAAATAATTTTTCAACTGAACGATGCCATTGAAAATCAAATTAATATTTTTCTGCTAATGAGTTTTGTGCTTCTCTTTATCTTGTACTTGCTGATCAAGTTGGATCATAATTATCAAATACGTTGTTATAATCCCAACCATCTAATTATTTATAAATGATATATTAATTCTTAAACTTTAATTAATTTAATTCAATCACCTTATACAACAATTCGTGGTTCATATTTAATGCATCATATAATTTTATTTCCACCGGCTCTTGCAGTTGATGCAGTGAAATACTCTTCAGCTAAAAAAAGAAATTATTATTAGTTTTCAATTAGAAAATTAAATGTACACTCACCATTTCTTTGAAACCATCTGGTCGTTTCAAAGCCCACAACTCATGTAAAATTTTAGCTTTTCTGTTTGCCTCATAGCATATTGAGTTACAAGTATCGACGGAAAAAAATAATTGTGAGATTCGCATCAAAATCCATCCGATGGTTATTAAACCTGACCAATAATAATTTTTACTCAATATAAAAATTAACAGCAAATAAATATAGAGAATAATGTTTAAGAATTGAAGCAATAACGCTGTTAGTATCGGTAACGCTAATAATTCATCAGACATTATTATCAGATCTTTCAGGTCAAGATAAAGTTGATTGAATTCCCTTAATTTTTCATCTATTTGACGTGGATTTAACCTGAAATTAGTATTTTAAAATGAATAATTAATTAATTTCTTTAATTTCAATTGATTTTTCGAAATTATCTTACCTAATCGTTATTACTTCTATCGAGAAACTATTCTTGTCAGTATATACTTCTGGTAAGTAGCTAATATTTTTATTCATGAAATAAAATTGTCTTTTCAAAATTTTCAGGAAATATATGTACACCATTACGTAATTGAATGCTATAACTCGTGGATAATTGAAGACAATCCAAGTAACATTATCATAATCTTTATTTTCCAAGTAAAAAAGTACGTGGTCAGCTGACATGACTGTTAAAAAAAGGACATTGAAAAATAAAATAACCATCCACATTTGTCGCAAAATATCATCATAAATATTTGCCAATTCAATTTTCATTGTGACGGATGTATATTCTATTGATTTTATAAATAGTTTAACAATACATTGTAATTGACTACACCGTGTTATAGAATAAATCCATATTATTAATATAGAAATGTACTCTAATCCTAGTATCGCAAAATCAACAGTTGCGGAAAAGATTGTCTCTTGTGGACGCACAAATGATGATCTTGAGATTAAAATATTTACGAAGTTAACACTGTATCCCAACATTAAAATTATGGTGTAAATAATTGTTTTTTTAGATTTTTTTATTACTTCAGATCTGTCATAGACATAAGGGAAGAAACCCAAAATTTTGAAGTAATAAAACATTAATCTTAATATCTTTTGATTGTTTATCCACATAATTCCTTTTATTTTTTGTTTTACGTTTCAACTTAGTCTCTAAACTGCAAAATTAACAATAACTCTTATCAGTTGAAACATCAATTACGAATTCAAAATTATTAATACCTAATTACATTAAGTGTTTTACTTCAATCTATTAAATTAATGGTAGAAAATTAATAATTGTTTTTTATAGTAATATAAGAATCGATAGAGTATATATTGGAAACTGAATTTCTTATTGAACTACAAAATTATTAATTACTTCATGACGTTTCTTCCAAAGTAATTTCTATCAAAATTTATTTCTTTAATTAATTAAAAAATTGAAATTGTAAGACATTAAAAAAAAATTTTTTTTTAATAAATGAATTGAATAAGATCATATGCATATTATTAAATTAAATTTATTTTTTTGCAACATACTATTGCAGCCAAATATTAATGGATTACTTTTTATTACTTACAATTTTACCAAGTTTATGTTTATATTCCCTATTGGCGTTTACTAAATAAATAGTATGTATATGATGTTAGTTGATTAATTTCTTGAAAAAAAAAATTTATTAAATGTCTAAGGGCTACGTAACATAATACTCACAGACAAAATACCCAAACATCGGTAGTTTAACAATTAATTATCGCACAGAAAATTAAATGCTAAATAAAATTATGTACAAAAATCGGCGATGGTTTTTTTAAAAAAAAATTTTTTTTTCTCTTCTTTACATGAACCAGAGTATTTTGTCGTGATGCCAAAATATTTTGATGCAGTTTTTTCAAAAAGCGAGCGAAAATTCTGATATGATCCGTAACAAAAATTCACTTATTTAAAAATACAAAATGTATTAGATTTATTTTATTCTTAGAATCATAAAATAATTTTAAAATGTTTAGTGATTTTAAAAAGTTGTTTTATCCACAGTTTTGTACTTTTATTTCTTCTTTATATTTTTTTTAAAAACAATAAAATGTGTGTCTGTTTTCCATGATGAACAAAAAATAAAAGTCAACTGAAAGAAACCTCCATTCACAACAATACTATTGAATACCTGAAACAATAATACATAATTAGTACATGATATTAAAGTTAGCAGTCACTAGAGAATTTTTTAATTTTTTTTTAACAAAAAAATTTGTTCCAAAAAATTATTTTTACAAAATTGCATTTTTAATTTTCTAAAATTTCTACATGTCAATTTTTTTTGGACATAATTTATTGGTTAAAAAAAATTTTTAAATTATTAAATAGGCGCGCAGTAGCCTATCGGATCCGGCCCTTGCTACCAAAGCATAGGACCGGGTTCGAATCCGGCGTACACCAATGAATATTTTCAATATTTAAGTGTATTATTCTGCTCAGCCCAAGAAATACAAACGAATTCCAATCTCAAAAGTTTACCCCCTACCGTAATAGTCGCTCATGACCTTAGTAGTTTATGCGACTTTAAACAAATTAAAAAAAAAAAAAAATAAATAAATATACAAATAATTAAATAAATTAATAAACATAAAATTAGCGTAAAACTTTGGTAAACACAGGATGTTTTACACTTAAAAAGTGATGGAAAAGTTATTCGCGGAATTTAGTTAGGTGAGTGTGCAACAAAATGAATCTGGTGCATTCTCTTGAAAATTCCTCAATTCAGAGGTTTTAGAGTGTTAGGGAGGAGAGAAGAAGAGTTTGGGGGTGTGCTTTGCTTGGGTTTTATGTATATAGCTGCTCTGTCTACCATTCGTTTTCTCGATATATGTATTCAGCGTATTACAAATATATACATGTATGTATGTATGTATGTATGCATGAGTAGACTGCGAGTAAGAGTAAGAGGATGAGAATGAGGATGAGGAAACTGAGGTGTCGTGATTAAACCCCGGGCACACCAGAGGGGTATTAAGCCTGGAAGATTGATTTCCAAGAGGATTCACCAGGAGTGCCTAGAAGAAATGTATATGTGAGAAAGGGAAAATGGGGTATAGTTGAGATAAACGAGAACAAAGAAATCGAGATAGGAGGGTAGAGAAAGAGGAGTTCCGAAAACATTATACCTACTAAACTAAACTATATAGGCCGAGTTTTTATTTTTTATTCTTTTAAACAAATACCAATGGATTTACATTGATGTCTAAGAGATAGAAAGTTACTGTTATTTATGTTTTCTTCTGCTATTGAGAAGATAAATGCTCAAAGCTGTTAAAAATAAAGGATTCGAGAATAATCGATTGAAAATAAAATTCGGCTTGAGAAAAACTTTTAAATAGAGAAAAGTTACCTTTTAAAGGTGCGAGTCAGATCGTCGCGTGAAATAGGGTTCTTTGTATTTTAGTAGAAAATTTTTCGAACTTTATACAAGTTTGTTTGGTTTTTTTTTTTTTTTTTTTTTTTTTACTAATTATTTTTACATTGAGAGAAAAATATTTTTGTGACAAAAAATTAATTTCTTGGAAATGTTCAACAATTTTGTTACTAAGCCAAAGAAATTAAAATTTTTCTCACAGTAACTTCCTTGTTGAAAAAAAGTTTTCTAGATTTGGGAAAAAAAATTTTGGATGAAAATTCTCAAGTTGTCTGTCTAAAATTGTTTTTTTTCCAAATTTAGAAAACTTTTTTCCAACAAGAAATTGAGTGTGAGAAAATTTTTAATTTCTCTGGCTAAGAAATAAAATTGTTTAAAATTTCTCAAAAATTAATTTCTTGTCACAACAATGTTAATTTTTTTGAAAAGAAATTTTTTTTTCTCACTCATCATAATCATGAGGCTCATTTAATTAAATGGATTAATTATCCGTGATAATTGTACAATATTTATTAATTATTTAGTTTAATTTTACTAAGCAGCAAGTGTATTATTCTGCTCACGCCCAAAGAAATAACAAAACGAACTTCCAATCTACTAAAACGTTTACCCCCTACCGTAATAGTCGCTCATGACCTTAGTAGTTTATGCGTAACTTTAAAACAAAATTAAAAAAAAAAAAAAAAAAAAAAAATTATTAAATATCTGCTAAATTTATTATCATAATTAGTACTTAAATAATTATTTTGTAAAAATTAATTTAAGTTTTAAAAAAAGAATACTTACCTTGGATTAAATTTTTTTTCTAAACATTCAACTTTAATCACAATGAATGCTAGGCGGCTGTTAAAATGGTGAAATCAAATTTACCCGCTTCAACTCACTAGCAACATAAGTTTCTTATCGGCGTTGGTAAGGTTGAATTTTTCAATATTGATCATTATTCACATAAACCCGACATATTGTATGGCGTTCTTTCTTTCTCGTTCTAAAGCTCTTGTACACGGTACCTAACAAAATGGGTTTCCAGAATATTTGGTATTCTCATCCGCGTAATTATGGCCAAGGCTCACGATCATGGTAAATTTATAAAAAATTTTATTATTCTGATTAATTGAAACATTATTTCTATGGATTTTTTTTTTCAAGTGTTGTAAAATATCCATTTGAGTGCCATCACCGTCGCCACGTGCGACATAATTATTTAATTGCTAAAAACTAATTTTACTTGTGATATTTTAAGTTAATTAATATTTAAAATATATAAAAAATAATTGATTTTATTATTAATCGTCAATTTGATTTGGATTTTGCTCATATTTTACAGATTGATTTAGAAAACGTATTCTAACCTATTTTTAATTTTCAGCCGTGCCTGCGCCAACAAACACGGTCTAATCCGCAAATACGGACTCAACCTCTGCCGTCAGTGCTTCAGAGAGTATGCCGCTGACATTGGATTCAAGAAGGTGATTAAAAATTTTTATTTTAAAACATAGTGCAAATCTAATAACAGTAAAAATACACTTTCTTAAATTGCTTTATTTGGGGAAAAAAAAAAAATTAAAAATTTTATGATACTGAAATCAGCAAGCGTCCATACATTTTTCAATTTTTGATTAAATTAAATTTTAGAAATGTAAAAATATTTGTGAAAAATTGCATTTATAGTTTCTTCAAACCTGACGTGTAATTATTAAATGTTTTTTTTGATAAAAAAAAATGACATTGAAGTTAGCAGATGTCTAAAAATTTTTTATTTTTTTTTTTTTTTAATTAAATTACAACTAAAAAGATATTTTAAAAAAATTGCACTTATAGTTTTTCAAGTTTTTAACATGTGGATATTTTTTTTAATTGTTTAATTGAAATTTTTTGGATAAAAAAATTTCTAAAAATTTTGAAATGTCAGCTAACTTCATTTTCATAAAAAAAAAAACTTTAAAAATTACCAAATGTCTGCTAATTTCAGTGTCAAATTTTTTTGAATAGAAATTTTAAACACTTAACATGTTTATTTTTTTACAATCACATTACATTGTAATTTATTTCAAGTAATAAAATTTTCATATGTAATTTTAAAAAATAAGTAAACCATTAAGAAAATTTTTGATAATATCAATGTACATATTTCCGAATACATTAAAATTATAAATTTACATTTTTTATATTATACATTTTCGATATTACATATATCTATTAAAATGTAATTTATTTATATACCCTAACTAATAATTATTTTCTTATATTTTTCAGTTGGATTAATTTCAATGTAACGGAGGATTTCACGCCTTGAATGGATCCATTAACTTAACTCAAAATTATTAAAATAAACTACCATCAAACAAAATATTGCTTTTAACTGAGTAAAAAAAGTATAATCTGTACATGGCAAAGATCCAGTAAAGGCGATTTAAAAATAAATAATTTTTATTTATTAAAACAAAAATAATTTTATTTACAGTTTTAATTAGAATTAAGTTTCAAGTTGAAATATTTACAATGAAGTTCACTTTATTAGCTCGTAAATTATTTTTAACGTCCTTAATAAAATAATTATAATTCATTTTTAAGTATAATAATAATTTATTTTAAAGAGCTTAAGTAAGTACCAACACAAGAAATACAAGGAAAGTTTAAATTTTTTTCCAAGATAAATTTTATGGGTTAGTGGTATTGGTATTGGATAACAAAAAAGTGAGTGAGTTAGCAACCTTGCTAGCCCATCTCTTTGTTATTCAAGGTTCACTTTCTTTGTTACTGTTGTCTTGAGTGCGACGCGGTGAAATCAAGATTGATCTGTTGTCGTTAGTTTAGTTTCAATTCAACAGCGGTGTGACGCAGTTTAATTTTTCGTGCAGTTGAGACAAATAGATAAGTATACTAAATAAATTGAATTAATTTATTTTTTGTATTGCTTAATAATATTTCTTAGTTGGTGAATAAATAAAAATGAATTTGTAACAATCGTCAGTACGTGCGGTAGTGTTATGTGTTATTATTGCGTTAATAATTGCTAGTTAGCATCTTGGAAATATTGGTTATAAAAAAAATTTCGCGATGCTAAACTTTTATTATATCACAGAGATATTTATTTTAGCATGTGAATAATTTTTTGTTTCATGTTTAATCTGCCTTTAATTTATAACAATAGTTAGCCGACACGACATTTTTGATTTTTTTATTTTGCTTAATTTATTAAATTATAACTAAAAAAATATTTTTTAAAAATTGCACTTATAGTTTTTGAAGTTTTTTAACAAATAAAAAATTTTTTTTTATGTTTTTATAATAATTCTTTAATAAAAAAAAATCATAAAATTTTTTAGATGTCTGCTAACTTTATTTTCATTTTTAATTTAATCTTACTAAAAAAAAAAGCTGTAACAATATTTTATTACATTCTATTATAATACTTTTATTCATAACTGGTTTATAACTTAAAATTAAAAATTTAATTCGTGATAATGTAAGTAAGAGACTTGATCATTATTTTCGTGTGACAATATTTGTGAAAAAAAAAAATAATTACAAAATAACAAAACAATTTTTATAATCTTTAATTTTTGTTTAGAATGCAGTGAATAGTCATAAAAAGTTATTAATTTTCAAATGTTTTAAAGAATGCTTTCTTTTTATCTGAAGTATATTAACCAGAAGAATCTAACAAAGTCTCAAGTATCTAGTGTATTCATCGCAAGTGCAAATGATTTTTTTTTTTTTAACAAAAATGATATCAAAATAAATTTTGTATTATAATTGAAATAAAAGAAAAAAATTTATCAAAGTAAAAATTTTTAAAGTTGATTAATTTAATAAAAGACAAAAAATTTGTCAGAAGTGGGATTCGAACCCACGCCCTCAGAGAGGACCAGAAGCCTCACACTCAGCTTAGCTGAGAAGGGACATAACCTTGAGTCTGGCGCCTTAGACCGCTCGGCCATCCTGACATATTCTGAAAATTCCAAAAGTCGTATTTAAACAGAAGGATCTTAATCCAACAAAAAAAATCCATAAATGAACTTTTTATTGTTTGAAAAACATCAATAAAATGATATACACTTCATTATATAGGTTTATGTAAATTAAAGAAAAGTCTTTTAGTAATATTCTAAATATATATTTTCAAAAAATTGTTTGAGTATAATCGTAGGTGAATAAATGATTATCAATTTATATAAATGGTTGCTTAAAACTCTATTATGTTGGAAAAAAACATATTTCATTAGATAATTAAACAACAGACTATAAAAAAATAATTAATAGTGATGATTTAATGTGGAGCATATTAATTATTCAATTAATTAATTAATTAATGATTTGCAGAACAAGGCCTTACATCGCCTTACGTCTGACTAGAACTGTTAATGTAAAATGTTAAATAGTACGCTGCAAAAATATATTTCTATACATTTTTTTTGTTTTTTTTTTTTGTTTTTCGTAACATTAATTGTTTTTTTTTTTTTAGTACAATTAAACATATCAATTTGATTTGATAATAATAATATAAAATATACACTAGATTGAACAAAAATAAGCTCGACGTTTATCAGTTTCTACATTGCCTACGATATTATTTACACATTTAGTTAATTATATTCTTCGTGAGTATACTATTTTATAAACAGTACCTTATTATTAAACATTTATATATAATTATTATTATTATTATTAGATAGAGGACGAATCGGCTGCTGCTGACGTGGATGGCAGTTGTTGAGGCACAAAATTAACAGCTTCGTGATAAATGAGCTCCTTCCATTTTTCAACCGGCAGCTCCATGTCTTCAAAACTCTGATCGTAGGGTAAAGACAGCGGTTCATCTGTTGGATCTGCGTACTGAGCTAGATATGGGTGTGCTAGAGCTTGTTCAGCGGTGATTCTTTTTTCAGCATCCAATTCCAACATCAATTCAAGTAGATTGATAGCTGAAGAACAAACAAATTTTTTTACTGCAATTAAGTTTCACTCTAATTACACCATTATTATATTAAATTACATTTAATTACATCATTACAAATAATTAAAACTTAATTTTTGTACTTAATCAAATTAATTAAAGATATTAAACTACAAAATTAATTACCCAATGGATTAGCGCCTCGGAAAACCTCCTTGAAATTTTTCTTTTTAAGAGGCGGAAGACTTTGTATATAATTTTTAGCCTGTAATTTTATTTAACATCATCAATATCTCATGATTAATTGTTCAATTAGCTAAATAGTTTACAAATGATTAAGTAGCTGTTGTTAATTAAAAAAAAAAAAAATGTTATTAACAGAGCGAAATGATTAGTGAGTACATAGTATTGTGACAAAAACTTATTTTAATAAAATACTTTATATAAATTAATTTTAAATGTATTGTGAATGAATAAAATAAATAAGTTTTTTTGATTCTATATCAATTACCTCTTGGCTTGTTATTTTGCTTATAGTTTCTTCAGAGGGAGTGCCACAAAGTACAAGTACTCGCGTTAGATGATCAACGTCTGCACACGGTTAAGGCTTCACTCATTCCGATACAAATGCGGCTTTTTTTATTATAATTTTTAATTGCAGTTGTTTAATTTTACTAACAATTACTGTGTCGCTAATTACAGTAACTACCTTCCCCAGTGAAAATTAAATAGAATAATAGTAATTTAATTAACTCATAAGCAGCCCATGCTCATGAAATTCTTTCAGCCCATGCATTTCTAACGAAGCGTTTTATTCATAGATTTTTATTTTAATCAATACAACAATTCATTGTTAACATCATATTTTTATTGATTAATGAGTGTAATGTAATGAATAATGACACGTGCGTTTTATCGACATTAATGTAAGGAAATGGTCAAGTTAGCATGACTTACCGACTCGGATGATATTTTCAGCATAAACTCGTCTCGAGGAGTACCCAGGACCTCCATTATTAGATTTAATTGATGAATATCTGCTGTTGCTAAGGCTCCACTACAAAATTCTTGATAAATCTCTATTCTTCCCATTATAAATTAATTGATTTCTTAACTTAGTCTCTTTCAAATGAAAGCTTAATCGTTTATTGCTGCTTGTGCGCGAAGCCGATGATTCATGACTAATCAAGCATTTGAGATTAAAGCGCGAAATAATTTATTTAACTTTTGTAAAGAATTTAAAGAGCATGTAGAAAATTTAGTAAGCATTGTAGACCCTTAGCAAGAAGCAACGGCTGAATTAGTACGAGTATTTATTAGCATTAATGACAAATTGGTGATGATTGTAATGGGAGAATGAATGAGTGACGGGCTAATTTTGTTAATAGAGGTCTTCAAGACAGTAAACAGTGCAGAGATACTGAAGATTAAGCAAAATTGTCTAACATAAATAAAAAAAAAAAAAAAGGATACGATCAGTGCCAGGGAATAAAGTCCTTCCGGTGAGCAATTCGGCCATGATGCAACCGACAGACCAAATGTCAACTGAGGAAGTGATAAATAATGTTAATAAATAACAAACGAATAAATTAACAATTAATTAGATTATTTATTGTTATTATCTAAACGAACCTGTTTGATTGTAATGCATCCAATTGAGCATTATCTCCGGTGCTCGATACCACCTCGTTGCGACGTAACCAGTCATTTCATTTTCTGTCGGTCTCGCTAGACCGAAATCTAGAATTTTCAATTCACAATCTTCATTGACTGCGATATTCGATGGCTTCAAGTCCTGAAAAATAAAAGTTTTAATTTTTTATTCATAACACAAAATTAAGGAGGTCCTTTTGCCATCAATGTTAAATAAAAAATATTAGATTATGCATAAAATTCATTTTTATCTAATAGTTTAAGTCCTTATTTATCTACTAGTGAAGTTTAATTTATTCTTCACCGTGCAAATTTATGAAAAAAAAATTTCTAAAAATGTTAGTATTTTTTCCGAGTTTTACGAGAAAGTCAGACCTTAAGGTAGTTTTAGCGTGAAAAGCATTTCAACCGAAAATTATGAAATTTTTTTTATCAAAAGATAAATATATAAATAATTCACTACCAAAATTTCTGATCAATTGACCGCACCGTTTTTGAGTAATTAATTTTCGAAATTGCATCTTTTACACGTAGAGGTATAGAGAGATGGTAAAGTTAGTATGAAATCTTTGGCCCACTCGAGTGGTACGGAAGATTTCATACTAACTTTACCATCTCTCTATACCTCTACGTGTAAAAGATGCGATTTCGTATTTATATATTTATCTTTTGATAAAATAAATTTCATAACTTTCTGTTGAAATGCCTTTCACGCTACAACTACCTTAACAACTTTCTCGAATTATGGCATTAACCACCGATTAGATGGGGTAAAAAAAAACTTAAAAGGTTTTCAAAATATTCAGGTTTCATTTCTTGCAATAAAATATATAGGTTGCCGTGGAATTTATAGAGAAATTAAAATTATAAAATCACGGATTTTTAAGTAATCTACATTTAAATAGCGTTAGAACATTTGGCAACGTTGCGTAGCGCGCGAGCTTCAGACAATTCAATACATTCAAACTAAACTTTAACGCACTTATGTTTTTCATACAATACTTATTAGTTAATTTATTGTTAACAAATTTTCATATTTCATAATTGAAGAATAAAACAATAATTAAAAAATACTAGCATTCCAGCCATGAAACATTAGAATGTTATGGTTTTGCGATTAAACATTTTTAATTAATTTATTTATTTACATTGACTGCAAAAACTTAAACATAGTTAAGATTATATTGTGCAAATGAAAATGTAAACCAAAATATAGCGTTGCCAAATCACGGACAGGTTACTAACAGCTGATTTACAAGAGTCAAATTAATTTTTTTTTTAATTTTCAAAATTTCAACGATCAACGCCTCATGAACTATTTATTTTTTTATTTTAGGAATTTTTATGGGTTCTTTATTTATGACATTAAAGTTAGCAGTCACTAGAGAATTTAAAAAATTTTTTTTAACAAACAAATTTGTTCAAAAAAATTACTTTTAAAAAATTGCATTTTTTGTTTTTTAAAATTTCTACATGTCAATTTTTTTTCTAATTTTTTTTTTGCCATAATTTATTTAAAAAAAAAAAAATTCTAAAATTTATTAAATATCTGCTAGATTTATTTTCATTCTTTATTTTAATTTATCGAATATTGACTACTACAGTTATTGTGACTCAATTGAAGCGAAAGGACTTCCTTAACCATGAAAAAAAAAATAAATAGTGAGAATAAAGTATTACCCTGTGAATAATTCCTGCTGAGTGAATATACTTCAATCCTCTCAGGATTTGATAAACGAGAAATTGGACGTGATCATCCGAGAGTTTTTGGGTTCTTACAATATTATTGAGATCAGCTCCCATTAAATGGGTTACCAGGTACCTGTTAAAAATGAATTATTAAAGCCATTATTAATATACTTGGATAACTTGTGTTTACAATACGTATTTTTGTACTAACAATTGTTGAAAGTCTTCTAAAGAAGTTGATGGATGAAAAACATCTAACAGTCCGATCACCTAAAATAAATAACAATTGTAAATAAATATTGATCTTATTTATCATTATCAGTTAAAGTGACAAAATAAAATTTATGTATGATAAAAAAAAATTTTTTTACATTCTCGTGATTCATGTGTTTGAGCATTCGTAATTCTCTGTAGGTTCTTTTCGCATGTACTGCCGATTGAAAGGGTCGGGCCAATTTTTTGATAGCTACTTTTTGATTAGACACAGTGTCAACGGCTGAACTAAAAATAAAATGAAAACAATTGATTAATAGGTGCTATTATTATTGTTGTTGTTGTTGTTATTATTGTAAATAGATAAGTTGAATCAACATAGCATAATACAATAGTATAAATAGTTTAGTTAAATAAAAAGGAAAGGTGAGTGTATATATACATATAATGTATTTGAATGAGTGTCAAGGTTTGAAACGTCAACGACATTCACTTGAAATTACCAGAATGAAAATGCGACCTTGACTAATTGACGACAAACAATATATTTTATCAAGATTGAGATATAAAATAGTTAATTATTATCATCAGTAATGATAATCGATTAGATCCTGATATTGTTATTATTTTATGATAAATATAATAGCAAAGATAATTAAATACAATCGCACGCTTTCTGTTAAGTCCATCAATTGCGCAGACTTATTGGTTTTTATTAGCTTGGATTTACAAGAATAAAACAATCAGATTGTTGTCACAAGTTCTTGAGTTACGTCAAGGCCGCGTTATGTTCTAATAACTGAGAAGAAAAATAAGTATTAGTGGTTTTTAATAGGTTATGATTAAAGTTATAATAAATAATAAATAAATGATGGTAAATATTGTTTTCTTACCACACTTGTCCGTAAGCACCTGAACCAACTGGTGTTAACATTTGATAACGTTCAGGAACCTCCCATTCTGTTTTATTAATCTCAACTTTATGAAATTTCGGCATTTTTAATTATTAATATACGTATATACTAAGCGTTAACAAAGCTGCAATGTTAGTCTATTATTATAATCAGTTGTCAAATGAAAATGAATCACTTGCCGGGATCTTGAAGCTACTTTTGAGTTCTCTCAAGTACCACCACACACTATTTCCTAATTAGTCTTTATACTACATGTGTGTTCGACATACGACTACGTATATTTATATATACAATCGAATTAATTGAATAATTCTTTTCGAGATACTATCGATATATCGTCGTTCGATTGTACTTTGACATTTCAATTATCTACGGTTGATAAATTATCGATTTCAGATAAATTGGCGGGAAAAAATGTGGTATTTAAATTCAAATTTTAAAGTAAAAAATATTATAAAAAATATGTAAAAAAATTTATTTTTGGTTCATTTTATTTGTAATTTATTCTATATAAATTATTTAAAATATTAAAAAAACAACTAATCATGTTATCAATTATATTTTTATAATTATTTTGATTTCATGAATTATAAAAAATTTTATTTTTTCAATTAAAAATTTGAATCAAAATTTTTTTACAAAAAAAAAAAACTTGTAACTTTTATGAATTTTTATTTAAGGGAGAAAAAATTTACGACTTGGAGCTTTTTTTATTAGAACCCCAAATAGAGGTGAATACAAATTATGTATTCAAAATGTTGCAGCTTCGGGTAATGCAACTAATTAAAAAAACTCTTTAAAAAGATCACGTTATAACAGCTATAACAGAAAAAAAAATTTCTTGCGTCAAGAAAATTTTAAGGAAGACCAAAGTTATTTTGGAGCAAGAACAAATTTTCTTGGCTCAAGTAATTTAGCTTCGTTTAAGAAATTTTGACTTTATCCAAAGAATTTTTAGTCTTCTTTAATATTTTCTTAACTGAAATGATATTTTTAAAAAATTCCAGGTTCGAGTTCAAGTTATCAATTATAAAAATAATTTAATCAGAGCAGCCAAGAATTGATACAAGTTTTAACTAAATGTCTTAATCTAAAAGTTAGTTATATAAATTTCGATTTAAGTCAATTCGATTTTTAATGTCATAGCAAAAACCTCACCCGCATGAGCAATGCAAAAAACGTTACCCGTTGATCCTCGACACTATTCACTGCAAAACTACGTAACCCACGGAATATTTCTATTATTATTCACATTGTTTAGCATATCTAATCGATAATCATCCATACAAGTGGGGAAACAATTTTTCTAAATTGAAAAAAAATCCACTATATAATCCTATAAAAAACATATCTTTTTCATTTTTATTACTCATCATCATAATGTCCATCCTGCAGATAATCGCCAATGAATCAAATACATACTCATATGTGTAGAAAATTAAATGACTAAACTTTTTTCTATTACATTATATATATGTCTTTATATTTATGTTTATGTACTTGAGAATAATTATGGAATCGCCGCCGGGAAACAATGATTTCATATACAAGATCCGTGTATGCTCGCTTAATACCCCAACAAAACTCGTAACATATACGGCGTTGTGGTAAATGTCTCACTTTAAGATTGTTTATTAAAAATTAAGTTGAGTTATTTTATATGCGTTGTAATTTGTAATGGATATACATAATACCTATATCTATAATAAACATCTGTCATAGATTTTTTAAAGCTCACGAAATTAATAGCAACGGTAAATCGTCATGGTATTAATATTATTACAGTCATAAGTTTATTACTACCATATTTATGACCATTTCCTTATTTCTAAAACTCCATAATAGTAAAAATAATAATAATAATAATAATAATAATAATAATAATAATAAAAAAGTAACAAAGCTCTTAATAATCTAATAGATTTCAAAATAACTAATAACTTTATAACTATGATAAAATATTAAGAATTAACACATCAATTCTTCATGTTATTAATTCAGCATTATTTACTATTTTTAAAATTATAATTTTGCTGATTGAAGTAACATTGCTATTATACTATATATAGTATACCGATTGTATTTCTCTATAATTATCCTATTAATCATTAACTTCAGCAGGTATATTGATACTTTTTTTTCTTCACTTATATATTTCATTCTATATTTACGCCCCCTGGAACGTCATCTGTAAAACCTAAAAAATTTTTAATAAACAGAAAAATATTTCATGTTAATAAAATAAGAATATTGTTATCATGGAATTTTTTACCATGTCTCTTCATTCATATTATATCATTGATTTGTTTCGTTGTAGTAGATTTTTGGCAATACATATATCGAATAGCGCTTTGATTTAATTTTAATTTTCCTTTCTAAAAATAAAAATAAAATACAATAACATGTTTTTGTTAAAGTTGTATAAAATTTAGAAGTTTTTTTTTTCAATTTATATTTTGAACGTGAAGAATAATAAAATGCTTAAAATTTACGTTTTTGGCAACGCGTATATTTTCGAAAATCAAAAAATTTAATGTCGTAAATTGGATAAACATATTCAGAAAATTTATAGAAATAACTACACATTTTCTTCAAGAAATTTCTTAAAAAAATTTATAATAGCTATAGCGACAGTGATAATGACGCTAACTTTTGTATTTATCAGAACAATAACAATAAAAAAAATTCATAAAATAAACTTATTTTTACATGTTGCTTAAAGAAGAAACAAAACTAGGAAAAGAAGGTCATTTAAAAAATATATTTTTCTAATCTAGTACATTCAAACATTCAAAATCTAAAACGTTTTAGCATTTGCAATTCATATTTATCATGTAATAATTGTCCAGGACAGAGTAATGTTATTATTACTATCACTATTACTATTATTATTTTTATTATTACATGCATCTAGTGTCTAATATATCAGTGTAAGCAAGTGTTTGTATTTGTATTTACATATACTGCTTATATGTATGTAGAAATGAAAGAAATCAAGAGCATCCCAAGTGTTACTTCATAGGTGACGCCCACGTTCGCGCGGGAGTCAACCCTGGATTTCATTCTCATTGCTATTGTAAACACCGAAGGACAAAATAAAAACTACAATGCAATTACTGTCAAAAAATGTAAAACAATCATCAATCATACAACTACTTCACATAGTATTGTACCATTAATAATATTTTTTTATTCATCATCTTAATATATTTTTTATCTGAGCATTAAGATGCAGCGCATCTTCTGACATAAATTACGAAATCGATCTCAACTGCATTCTTAACAAGTAACGGTAAAACTTTATCAGTTGAATAATAAACGTTTATATTTAATAAAAATTTTTTATTTCTTCTTGATATTCTGAAAAAGAAAGTAATGAAGATGTTTAATGAGAAATCGAAAATTTTTCACATGCATTTTTAAATTTAATCTCAACAAATGTCGCACCCGCGAGTCGCACCCAGTAGACTGATGTTATTACACACATGTGTCAGTACATGTTATGTATTTATTATTATCATTATTATTGTTATTATATATTTTATATGAAGTATGTAGTGTAGTGTAGAGTAGATCAGAAGAAATAAAAAGAAAAAGGAGACAACCAACAGACAGAAATTAAGAGACAGACATATGTATACAACACACATATGTGAAATTTACTATTCGTGTGTGTTAACTTACAAATTGACCAATCGCAGGACACCGTCACGTCACCATCGACCAATAGTTTCACTTTGAGATGACGACAAAGCTAAAAATAACTTGTATATATCTAGGCCGGTTGTCGTTGCAGAATATCCACAGTCGCGCGCCGGCAGCCGACGACGAATCATTTATGTTAATGAGTTAATAACAGTGTACTGTGCTTTTTTTTGGGAAATAACATATTTTGATGATTATTAAAAGGTAATTTAGAATTTTTTTTTTTTGAAAAATTTTTCCCGCTTGAAAATTGAATAACTTTTTACTTTTTTTTTTAGATGAAACTTTTACTGTTATCATTTAAAAATGTACTAATTTAAAAAATTTTAATTTCGGAGATTAATTAAAAAAAATTACAATGAGCAATTGTAATAAGTACTCCACGTGCGTCTGAAGTTGGAATTATTGATTACTTGGAATTTGAATGTAAATCGGTAGATAGCTAGTTGCTAGTGATAATGATAAGATTTGAATTTAATAATACTTGAAAAAGGCCTAGTTATTATTAATGTTATTGAAATTTATCATTGAAAGTTAATCCGAGATTCATAGAAGTCTTTTGTGTAGAAGTTATAAAATTTTATATTGTTACTTAGTATAATATTTATAAAAAAAAATGCTAAGAAGACGAACTAGGACATTTGTGTATAAACACTTCTTTGATGAATGCGAATGCAATTGTTATATATAATTGTGAATAGCAGCCACTTTTCTTGAAGCAACAGACGATTACTTTTTAAAAGCTGCCTTTTGCCATGCCGATGTAACATTAACAATACGTAGATAACAATAGGATTTTTTAAGCGCTTCAACACATTTGCATTTTAAAATTGAGCGCAGTTTCTAAAATATCAATCTATTCAATAATTGATCTGTAAAAAGCAATGTAAATTATTCTGGCTCAGGTATAAGTTAAATCAAAAGTTTTAATTGTTTGTTCAAGTATTTCTTCGGTAGATAAACAAAAATAATAAAAAGTTATTCAAACATTTGGGAATTTAGAACGTAGTAACTATAAATTCAAGGTTTTTAATGGCCATGGCCTTGCCTCGTGTCCTAAATAGTTATTAATTCAAATTAGTACTATTAAAATTTTAATTACTTTGTCTTTGTGTTTATTTTTGATGTTTTTATTTCGCTCTGCAGCACTGCGAATTTGCGATTTACGACAGGAATATCTGATTTCTGTGTGAATCTGTGGAAAAAAATCTTGATTAGGCTCGCAAGTAAAAAAAAATTAAATAAAATAAGTAGGATTGGTGTGAAAATATAAAGTACCTCATTAATGCAAATATCGAACGTAATTGTACGTTCTGGAAGTTCATTAAGCTTTTAATATGTAGGTGAGACTTCAGGGTCGCTGTTGAACGCTTTTAAA